AGCAAGAATTGGAACTTACATGTTTCGTCACACCTGTCCGGGATTTGAACGTGCTGGGACTGGATTGGATCACTGCTCTTGGTCTCGAAAACATGTCCATCAACGCAATCTGCAACCATGTGAAAGCAGAACCATTGGGAAGTGAAGTTACAAATACAAATAAGAACATTTTACTTCTAAAGCAATCTTTTCCAGATGTATTCGAAGAAAAACTGGGCCTGTGCAAGCACGCGAAAGCGCATTTGGTGGTTGAGCCTGGGCGTTCTCCAATTTTTCGTCCAAAACGACCAGTGGCTTACGCTATTCAGCATCTTGTCGAAGAGGAGTTACAAAGACTACAAGATATCAATGTAATATCGCCAGTATCCCACTCTGAGTGGGCTGCACCAATAGTGGTCACGAAAAAGTCAAATGGCAGCATACGTATTTGTGCCGACTTTTCAACCGGACTAAACGCTGCCCTCGAAGCATACCAATACCCTCTTCCTCTGCCAGAAGACATATTTTCAAAGCTCGCAAATGCCAAGTTTTTTAGTCACATTGATCTGTCGGATGCCTTTCTTCAAATCGAAGTAGATGACAAGTCAAAGGAGTTACTTACGATAAACACGCATTTGGGCCTATTTCGATATAATCGAATGATATTCGGTATTAAAACCTTCCCAGCCATTTTCCAACAGGTAATGGATAAAATGCTCTCTGGTCTGGACTGTGCAGCAGCATATATAGATGACATTTTTGTTTCGGGAAGAAACGAACTTGAGCATGATCGTAATTTACGCGAGGTTTTGCGAAGAATCCAAGATTATGGATTCAAAATCAAATTCGCAAAATGTAAATTTGCGGTGACCGAAGTTAAATACTTAGGCTACATTATAAGTCCGGACGGACTTCGACCAGACCCGGAGCGCGTTTCAGCCATCAAAGATATGCCAGAACCAACCAACGTTACCGAATTGCGATCATTTCTGGGTGCAATTAATTTCTACGGCAAATTTATAAATAAAATGCGCCAGCTTAGAGGCCCATTAGACGAACTTTTAAAGGCTAATGTAAAGTGGCAATGGACGTCTATTCAGCGAAACTGCTTTAACAGCCTCAAGGACATTCTCAGCTCAAATTTGCTATTAACGCACTACGACCCAAATAAAGAAATCATCGTAGCTGCAGACGCATCCAACTACGGTCTTGGTGCATGTATTCTCCATGAAGGCCCTGATGGTTCGATAAAGGCAGTCTGTCACGCATCACGATCTCTTACACCTGCGGAAAAGGGGTACAGCCAAATTGAAAAAGAAGGGCTCGCTCTGGTATTCGCAGTCACCAAATTCCACAAGATGATATTCGGTAGAAGGTTCAAACTGCACACGGATCATAAGCCGTTACTCACGATTTTTGGCAAAAAGACGGGTATTTCGGCACATCAGGCTAACCGTCTACAAAGATGGGCGCTGCAGTTATTAGCATACGATTTCGAGATAAGCTTTATCTCAACGAATAGTTTCGGTTATGCTGACGTTCTTTCACGCCTGATCAATAAAAGCAACAAAGCGTCGGAAGACTACGTCATCGCCTCGGTAAAGTTTGAAGGCGAGATCAAGAAAATTCTATCAGATGCAATAGACAAGCTACCAGTAACGCACAGCATGATAAAATATGAAACAGAGAAAGATAAAACTCTCAAGCAATTATTAGATTACATTGAACATGGCTGGGCAGACAATGCAGATATCGGAGTAGAATTAAAACAATTCCGGTTGCGAAGCGACAACCTTAGCATCATTGATGGGTGCATTATGTTGGGACAGCGTGTGGTAATACCGGCAATATTACGTAAACGGATTCTCAAGCAAATTCACAAGGGACATCCGGGAATGGAGCGGACCAAAGCAATTGCAAGAAGTTATGTATATTGGCCACACATAGACTCAGAAATAGAAGAGTTAGT